CTGCCTGTGATATAATTAACGAAGACAAGGGAAGGCAAGAAAGGGGGAGGGGTGGCCTTGTATGTGAAGGATAGCATAAAATCTAGCCTAATAAAAGTTAGTGAGGCAAACATAGAGTCCGTTTGGGCTACGTTAGAATTTGGTAATCACACAGTAACTCGTGTAGGTGTGATTTATAGGCCTCCAGGACAAATTGAAGAGTTAGATAATCTACTAGTTGAGGAAATAGCTAAAATGACAATGAAGGGGGAAGTTATCATCATGGGTGACTTTAATCTTCCTGATGTAAATTGGAAAACAAAATTAGCTACTTGTGCCAGGAGCACACATATTCTAAACTCCCTACTGGGATTGTCTCTAAAACAAGTTGTTGAGGAGCCAACTCGTAAAGAGGCCATACTAGATTTAGTGTTAACAAATGGAGATTTGGTATCAGATATTACTGTAGGTGAAAGTTTAGGATCCAGTGATCATCAGTCAGTGTGGTTTAATATAAGAACAGTGACTGAGTAACACCACACAAAAACAAAAGTTTTAGACTTTAGAAAAACAGACTTTTCTAAAATTAGAATATGGGTAGAGGAGTCATTATCAGACTGGAGCAATTTAAATGGAGTCCAAGAAAAATGGGATTATTTAAAAGTTGCACTATTGAAGGCAACAGAAAATTGCATTAGGCTTGTCAGTAAAAGCAAAAATTCAAGAAACCACTGTGGTACTCCGCAGATGTGGCCAAAATAGTTAAAAACAAAAAGTTAGCATTTAGGAATTATAAAAAAACCCAGAGTGAGGGAGACAAAATGATCTATAAGATTAGGCAGAAAGAGGCTAAGCAAGTTATAAGAGCTTCCAAATCACACACAGAAGAGAAAATAGCACAGTCAGTAAAAAAGGGGGATAAAAAATTTTTTAGATACATAAATGAGAAAAGAAAAGTAAAACAAGGATTAGTTAGATTAAAAACAAAAGAAGGAAGGTATGTAGAAGAGGATAAAGGTCAGGAAGAAAATGAAGGAAAGGGACCTCAGTTGAGAAAAAGGATAAATGAGTCATTTATTACACGTGAGTTTACAGAGGAAGAGGTTCTATTTCAACTGTCAAAAGTAAAGACAAATAAGTCAATGGGACCTGATGGAATACACCCAAAGCTATTAAAAGAGCTTAGTGGTGTACTAGCAAAACCATTAACAGATTTATTTAACCAATCATTGTTAACAGGAGTAGTCCCAGAAGATTGGAAGTTAGCGAATGTTGTGCCCATTTACAAGAAAGGTAATAGGGAGGAGTCGGCAACTATAGGCCAGTAAGCCTTACTTCAGTAGTGGGGAAAGTGATGGAAACCATGTTAAAGGATAGGATTGTTGAACATCTAAAAACACATGGATTTCAAGATCAGAGACAACATGGGTTTACTTCAGGGAGATCATGCCAAACTAATCTTATTGATTTTTTTGATTGGGTAACTAAAATTATAGATCAGGGTGGTGCAGTAGACATTGCTTACCTAGATTTCAGTAAGGCTTTTGACACTGTTGCACATAGAAGGCTTATCAATAAACTGCAATCTTTAAGTTTGGATTCCAATATTGTTGAATGGGTAAGGCAGTGGCTGAGTGACAGGCAACAGAGGGTTGTAGTTAATGGAATATATTCGAAGCTTGGACTTGTCACCAGTGGGGTACCTCAGGGATCTGTACTTGGACCCATTCTCTTTAATATTTTTATTAGTGATATTGCAGAAGGTCTTGATGGTAAGGTATGTCTTTTGCTGATGATACTAAGATATGTAACAGGGTTGATGTTCCAGGAGGGATAAGCCAAATGACAAATGATTTAGGTAAACTAGAAAAATGGTCAGAATTGTGGCAACTGACATTTAATGTGGATAAGTGCAAGATAATGCATCTTGGACGTAAAAACCCAAGGGCAGAGTACAGAATATTTGATAGAGTCCTAACCTCAACATATGAGGAAAGGGATTTAGGGGTGATTATTTCTGATGACTTAAAGGTAGGCAGACAATGTAATAGAGCAGCAGGAAATGCTAGCAGAATGCTTGGTTGTATAGGGAGAGGTATTAGCAGTAGAAAGAGGGAAGTGCTCATGCCATTGTACAGAACACTGGTGAGACCTCACTTGGAGTATTGTACACAGTACTGGAGACCGTATCTTCAGAAGGATATTGATACCTTAGAGAGGGTTCAGAGAAGGGCTACTAAACTGGTTCATGGATTGCGGGATAAAACTTACCAGGAAAGGTTAAAGGATCTTAACATGTATAGCTTGGAGGAAAGACGAGACAGGGGGGATATGATAGAAACATTTAAATATATATAAAGGGAATCAACACAGTAAAGGAGGAGACTATATTTAAAAGAAGAAAAACTACCACAACAAGAGGACATAGTCTTAAATTAGAGGGACAAAGGTTTAAAAATAATATCAGGAAGTATTACTTTACTGAGAGGGTAGTGGATGCATGGAATAGCCTTCCAGCTGAAGTGGTAGAGGTTAACACAGTAAAGGAGTTTAAGCATGCGTGGGATAGGCATAAGGCTATCCTAACTATAAGATAAGGCTAGGGACTAATGAAAGTATTTAGAAAATTGGGCAGACTAGATGGGCCGAATGGTTCTTACTTGCCGTCACATTCTATGTTTCTAAGACAATGGACTAACTCAATTAACTCTAAACAGAAAAAACATACATTTTAACAAACCCCAAAAAGTACCCCAAAATATGCCCTGGTAGCCCCGATCTGGGTGAACAACATATCCAAAAATCATCCAGATCAGTTCAGGGGTTCAGGAATTTCCTGGAAGTCTTATTTTTGCACCACCGTGCACATGGTCCCATGCCCAAAACAGTTCCATACACTCGACGTCAAAACACTGCTGGACAATTTAAGATGGCCGCAGCCACATGTTTGAATCTGTTCCAGTTAAAAGTCCAAGGGGCAGAAACAGTACTTTTGAACATGGGTTATCACAGGGCCCATAGTCCCAGGGTAGGATGTTGGCAAACAGGCCACTCCAAAAACCATGGCGAAGTTGCTTTCATCATAAAAGCCTTCTTGTATATAGTTTAGGCCCGCCAGGAGTCTTGGCAGTAAGATGTCTCGGAATGCTTGGAGGTATGTGAGAGGCAGGCGTCTGGTCCCAGAGCCCGATGTGGTTTTGAGTTTTTCAGCGCGCCGTCCAGTTCCTCTATTGTCAGGGGGCGTTCCAGGTCTTCTGCAAGTTCTGGTGTGAGTTTTTTTGGGTTACATGTTGTGCCAAGTAATCTGTCAATTTACGGCTGTGTGTCTGTAGTGCTGGGTCTGCATCTGATTGTATAGGTCCGCATAATAAGCCCGGAAGGCCTCTAGAATGCCCTTTGGTTTTCTAGTGCACTTGTGTTCTTGGGTATTAACTTTATGGATGTGTTGGGACCTCCTTTTCTCCTGGAACATCTTCGCCAGGAGTCGGCCGTTAAAGTGTTCGTAGAAGAACCTTGCGGATTTCCTCATGGTGTGTAATAGTCCCTGGGAAAGATGGTCCCCGAGTTCCCTGCGAGTCTCCATCAGTTGTAGGTAGGTGTCATTGTCCAAGGTCAGTTTGTGGGTGGTTTCCCGGTCCACAATCCTAGATGTCAGGTTGGTGATACGTTGCGTCCTGTCTTTCTTACACCGCATGCTAATCGATATGTAGTGTCCCCATATAACGCATTAGTGGCTTCCCATACCGTCAGAGAGGGCGTGTCTGGGTTGTCGTTGGTCTCGAAGAAGTGGGTGAGTGTCTGGAGGGCTGAGGTGCAGGCTTCCAGGTCTGTGAGCATAGGGGGGATAGGGGATTGGGACGGGCTGGGGTCTGTAGGTGGTAGGGAAAGGAATGGGTATGTGGGCGTAGGGTGGGGAGGAACGGTTGCTACTTCAAACCTAGTTTACCTTATGGCCTCTCCAAACTCCAGTCGTTTGTACAGTTAAGGTCTGTTGTGCAGGGTGCGAGGTGGGCCACTTCCAGCATCTGTCACTAAAACTGAAAAAGTGTGTCAATATCCATCTCCGGTGGCACCCAACCTGCCTATGGTGGCTTCAGGGTGATTGTCACAAGTACCATGGAAACAATGCCGGGGTGGATGGGGACCAACACCGTCATTATCTTTTAGGGTACTAGGGTTTTTTGGGGGGTTTAAACAGTATGCAGCCACGGGCGGTGTAGCGAGTAGGGGTAGAATTTACTAATACTAAGTCATCTTTACTTAGTATTAGTAAATGTGGCTGAAAGACCAATTTAGGTCTTTCAGCCTTTTGGTAGATAGCTCCCTGATACCGTGGGAATTAGGGAGTTATCTACTAAGCAGCTGCAAGATGCAGCCACAGCACGAATAGGATCAGAGTTTCATTCATTCGAATAAAATTGCGATCCGAACAAAGTCCCGAATTGCGTTCTAAAACTAATGGAGAAACTGTTCTCATTCTAATAAGATGCAATTCGGCAGTTTTGCCGGCATTCTGTCTAAGTGACAGGACACTCGGCAATACTGACAGGAAGCATCACGGGAACAGGGAGGAAAGCTAACGATTATAGGAAAATTGTTCTGACCACCGGAAACGAAGCACATTTTGCTCATCCGCTGGTCATAGCTGGTCATGGCGTAGGAAACCTCCAGAGGAGAAATAGTCCCTACTGTTGGGACACCTCTTGTGACACCTCTTGTGTGCGTGTACGTCAGGCCAGTCTCATGACCCTCGCCCCCAGGTATCCGGCCAATGTATCCATGCCACCCCCAGACTCTTGGCTTGCTGGGCCCAACTATGGCACCCAGGGCCAACGTCAGCTTCAGCCGTTGCATCTGGGCCTGTCTGGGGCGTAAGTGTGAGGTTACCCTCTTGTCAAGTAACAGTTTAACCTTCAACATAAAACACAAAAACAGCAACAACAAAAAAACTGTACGGGTTTGTGATGGCCCCTCTTCAGCTGTCCACTTGTCATGCAGTCGTCTGCCCCCTCCTGCACTCCCTCCACATTGCGTAGGTGTTTGCCCCGATCGTTCTGCCTTAAGCAGTCTGGCCGGGTACGGCCATGTGTGGTGGTACTCCACATATTGTGAGTTATTGGCCATACTGTTTCCAAGCTTCTCGCCTGGCGCCCCAGCCACCCAACCTATGATGTCTGTCGATGCCCAGTTTTCAGTGGAGGGGACTGTCCTTGTTTCTTTGCTCCGTATCGGTGACATTCTCTCCCAGCCTGCTCCCCACCCAATCTCAGGTTCCCCATGGGGCACTTTTGAGCCAAACTGCAGGGGTGTCAACGAGGCTTGTAAAGGCATAGTACATACCCGCTGTTGGCTGTCTTACTGCCCTCGGAGGGCCAGGGTGCCAGGCAAGTCTCCGTGGGGATCGCACGGCCGGGGGGTGGGGATGGGCCTTCCTCTTCATTATTCTTCGGGGCCGTCTGGTCTGGGCACGGCTCCATCAGCTAGGTTGTCAGTGGCTGAGTCCGGGGGTTAGTCCAGTGTCCAGTTTGGGACCTGTATGGTCGGCAGGCCTGCGACCCCCAGAAAGTGAGGGATGTCGTTAGGCCAGTGCACCAAGTGCCAGTGATTGTCTATTCTGTCCTGCAGGCTAAACGGGAAGCCCCACTTATATGGAATTCTTCTCTCCTGCAGCAAGCTAGTGAGTGGTTTTAGTGCTCAGCGTGAGTCCAGTGTGAGGGTGGACAGGTCCTAGTGATATTTGTGAGTCCATGTATGGGATGGTACGTTGGGTTCTGGACGCTCTCATAATTGCATCTTTCAGCTGGAATGATGATAGGCAGCAGATCAGGTCTCTAGGCAGGCTGTCTCTTCTGGGGGCTCGAAGGGCCCTGTGGGCTCGCTCAATGCCAAATTCCGGTGGGGCTTCTCCCCCTAATATGTGCGCAAACAGGCCTGAGAGGAGCTCTCGCGGTGACTCGCCGTCTGTTTCAGGTATTCCCCTGTCGTGTATGTTGTTGCGTCGACCCCTGTTATCTAGGTCTTCAACTTGGCGTCAGAAGTCCAGGAGTATGTTAACTTGCCTTGTGGTAGCCAGGTCTGTGGCTTGCAGGTGGTGGGACGTTTGTAGGCGATGTTCTTCCAGGTCATCCACTCTCTGTTCCAGCACCGAAAGGTCTCTGTACATTGCTCCAATTTCTTCACGGATGACGCTTTGTCCCCCTGGGTGAGCATGTTGGCGGATATCACCACCAGGTCCGCCTACATCTGTGTGAGCGCATCTCCCTGTTGGGAGTATCATGTGGAGCATGCGAAACTGCTGGAGCTTGGGGATGAGGGCGCCATCTTGTCCATGCCCCGGGTGCGTCTGAGGCTTTGTGGCTGTTGGCCCTTGGGGGCTACTTGTGACAGTCCAGGGGTGGCCACCCATTTCATTTTCCCCATGGAGGCAGTATGAAACGCTGATAATTCAGGGCTTAAGCGGGTTGGGGCCTAGGAGCTAGTGCAGCATGTGTCCTACTCCATCGGTAGCCAAGCCATGCCCAGGTTGGATTTTTCTACAACTTTTCAGGCCAGAGGAACACCCACTGGACCTGACGGGGCACCAGGACACAAATTGTAGAGACCAATAGAAACAATGTAACAATGCCTGACACTCCCACATATAGCACACAATCCCTTTCCTCTGCCTGTGATACAACATAATTAACATAATTATCTCGAAGCATAAAAAACACATGTTTTTCACCACAGTGGTGTCATGTATTCATCCGCATATAAAAATGTGATTAATGACATTTACTGTTCAGACAGGAAAAGTTGTGCCGAACAGCAATCAAATCCACAGGAGGGTTTGTGTTGAGCAGAAATGATGCAAATGGAAAGCTGGTAACTGCCTTTGGGGTCAAAGGCTGATTACAGCCTATCAGATCCAGAGGATGGGTATTTAAGTTCAGTTCTCATCCTGCTCAGTGCCCTGTCGTGGTTTCCCTAGTGGTTGTCCGAGAGCGCGTTCCTGATACAAGTTTCTTCTGGTTTTTGACTTTAGCTTTGATTTTGACTTCCCTGTACTTCTGGCTTTCCCTTACCGTTGTGTCTCTTTCTGTATCCCCTGACCTCGACAAGTATCCTGACTACTTTTGGTACGTTAAGTCTAGTCATTCTAAGGCCCGTTAATATGTTACCTATTAGTCATCTGTGTGATACAATTCAATGTGCTGGATCAACTAGTAATCCTGACAAGTGGGGACCGGGATAACCCCCCACTGGTCCATATGGGGAGGGAACAGATGCTCAGATTCCCAATTTCAGTCTTGTGTGGTGGCAGGGTAGCGGGTGCCTCCCCCGCACCATCCATGCTTGTAGGCCTCATTCAGTGTTCGGGTAAACTCCTCAGAAATGACTGTGTATTTGGTATCTGTGGCAAACCTAGCCACTTAAGACTATTCCTTTATATCTAATGGTTGTCCTAGAAAGGTTGTTTAATCTATGTTGTTTTATGCTGTTCGCTTAAAGAGGTGATAGAGGGTATTCGTATGCTAGTGATGCGAAAGCCGCTAGCATTCATATTGTAGTTTCACGAACAGTGACTTTCAACACTGTTCGTTAAACGAACAAAGTACCGAATGGGAGACCACACACAGGAGGTTGTGTGGCTCCCATTAACAGATTGCAACAATGTATTGTTCATTGGTTTATTGATTCGCGGGGTGGCCACCGTTTCGGATACCAATCACGGCCATCTTGGATTCACTTTTGCCTGGAACTAAAATCGGCTACTCGATGGCACGAACACCGCTGGACTTACAGACCATTCGGGAACATCGGTCTTTCTGTACTTTCCTTCAAACTGTGCATTTGTGTATTTTCTGATAAGTTCATATTAAAGTGTATTTCGTGTGGCATTCGGCTAATTGTGCTGGGATCTGAGCGGTAGTTTCCCAAAGTATGCTCTCAGATCCCAGCTATCTACCTATATGTCATTCGGTCAAATAGCACGAATAGCGTGCAAGTTATATATTTTCAAGTAAAAAGACCGGTTCTGCTGTAAAGAGGGATAATCCACTTAACAGGATATTCTTATGGGAGTATCCCTCTCGTACAGCAGTGCATGGTGGGAAAAGTGTCCTGTATGTTCAGTTCCCCATGTAGTCTCCCACTGTACATCCTGTAAAGTGATTAAGGAAACCCCTTGCATAGGGAACCACATAAATACTGTGACCTATGAATAAAAACCTCAGTTGACTCCCAGCACTGTGTTTCGTCCGGTTACTGGGGGAGTTGGGATATTGCCTTCATTCAGCGCTTTTCTTGGATTACTTTATTCTACCAGCGGAGATATTGGGATTTAATATTGCAACTCTGCTACAGTATGGGTGTGAGACCAAGGTAATTTGTCTTAAGCAGCCTGACAAATTACTCTGGAGATAGCCCAAAAGGCTGTAGTAGTTATTATGCATGGATTGTTCCTTTAAGCACAATGTAAAATGTCAAACAAACAGACTTGCAGTTAGTTACATTTAAAGCGTCACTGTCATGCCGAACTTACCTTTCCCCAATCGATTCCTCTTCTCGCCCTCTCTCAGGATCTGTTCTTCATTTCTTCCTGTCTGCTCTAGCTTTCTTTAAAAATTAAGAAAAAATAGGGACTATTTCTCCTCTGGAGGTTTCCTACGCCATGACCAGCTATGACCAGCTGAGGAGCAAAATGTGCTTCGTTTCCGGTGGTCAGAACAATTTTCCTATAATCGTTAGCTTTCCTCCCTGTTCCCGTGATGCTTCCTGTCAGTATTGCCGAACGTCATGGCACTTAGACAGAACGCCGGCAAAACTGCTGAATTGCATCTTATTAGAATGAGAACAGTTTCTCCATTCGTGTTAGAACGCAATTCGGGACTTTGTTTGGATCGCAATTTCATTCGAATGAATGAAACTCCGATCCTATTCGTGCTGTGGCTGCATCTTGCAGCTGCTTAGTAGATAACTCCCTAATTCCCACGTTATCAGGGAGCTATCTACCAAAAGGCTGAAAGACCTAAATTGGTCTTTCAGCCACGTTTACTAATACTAAGTAAAGATGACTTATTATTAGTAATTTCTGCCCCTACTCGCTATACCGCGAGTAGGGGCATCTCTAGTAAACAGTGAGCAGCCTGTGGCTGCATACTGTTAAGCCCACCCAAAAAAACTCTAGTACCCTAAAAGATAATGAAGGAGGGTGAACTATTGTCCTCACCCCCAGCCCCCACCCCTGAGCGGTGGGTGGGGGCCCTAATTAACAATAAGGGGGGGACATATTGTCCTCCTCCTCGGCCCCCAACCTTGCGCGGTCGGTGGGGGCCCTAAATAACAGTGGGAGGGCCTATTGTCCTCCCCCCAGCCACCACCCATGTGCAGCGGGTGAGGGCCCTAAGTAACAATGAGGGGGAGAAACCTACTGTCCTCCCCCAGGCCCCCACTCCTGAGCGGTGGTTGGGGCCCTAAATAACATTAATGGGGGACCTACTTGTGGCGGAACCAACCCAACCAAGTATGTATGGGAGAGGAACTTGCTACCCCTATCCCCAGCGGCAGATTATCAATGTGCAGGGAATAGAGAGCCCAGTCTCCTTTCCCCAGCGGCAGAGTGTTCTATCGGGAGAGGAGCCTGTTACCCCCTCTCCCCAGCCACAGCTTGGTGTACTGTAAGCCCCACACCTGTGCAGATGGGATTGTGGTCTCTGCACTCCCAGCACAGGGGGTAGGGACGGTCGGTCCTGCCCCCCCACGACAGGGCTGTTTAGCCAAAAGGGAGACAGTCGGTCTACAGCGGCAGAGCTGTGTAACTAAAGGGGAGACAGTCGGTCTCCAGCAGCAGAGCGGTGTATTTAAAGGGGAGACATTCGGTCTCCAGCAACCAGGCTTCAACCAGACTACTCCCGTGGTAGTTCTGGCATCAGGGCAGAGTACCGCTGGTTTCTGCCCACTCAGCAACCCACCAAAGCAGCCTACCAGTCCCCCACACAGCCGTGTTGAGGCACCTGGACATGGACAAGTTTCTCCTCTACCCAGGTGTAGTAACCAGTTATTGTGGGTGGGCTGTACTGCTGGTTCTGTTTTGTGGGTGGGCGGCTGGACTAACAAGGGCACTGACCGGCAGGAGGTCAGATACCCTGTTAGTCTGTTTGGTAAAGGGGAGAAGTGTGGCGGAATCAACCTCGCCACTAGGCACTGGAGAAGCCTGGTTGCCAGCCTCCTGCCATGTGACTATGGCCCCTGG